AGGTGGTCTCTCCTCGTCTCTGTTAGTCACTTCAGGATTTCAGTATTTACATTATTTTTGTTTTCTCCTTGTCGGTGGTTACTGTCTCCTTCCAACCAATTGCGTGATGGTGGGGCGAAACGACGATGTGTCCACGACAAGTCTCTGCCCTCTCTCTTTCTCTCTCTCGCCGCCAGCTTTCGGGCCACACTACCCGCGACAACGTATACTTGTAACTGTTTAATGATAGCCTGAGAGAATATTCACTGTGGGTTTTTCTCAGATACTTCAAGCTCCAAGTCAACCCCCAAATATTGATATTCATAGTATGCAAATGGCTATTTGAAATTTATAGAGAAGTGGAGGAATATAGTAGCTGTGATGGCCAACGCGGATTATTTCACTGTTAGAAAATTGCTCTTGAAATTCCAAGTGAAAAAACTTGAGATTTTTAACAACGACAAAGTTACATGAAATTTCTGTAGAATTCTTTATTGACAAATCAGTTAATTTCTTGAATATTCAAGTAAAGATTCCTGTAGTCTTCCAAAAAAAGAAAAATCAGCGTTGGATTTTCGGGATCATTAGCGATAAAATTACCTCCTTTCGGTGGGAAAGTTGATAAATAGTAAATAGAAATCCAGGGGAATATGAATGCGTTAGTCGATTTAATGACGTATAAAATACGATCAGTGGACGTCCATAAATTCACTGAGCGCTCCGCAATCAGCTTCGAGCGAGATATTTGAGACTGCTTCAAAATTCCGCTTTGTTTATGACAGTTGATGAAAAGGGTAGTATTCTTACGAGCAGGTGTATATCAAACCTCAGGGGCCTTCCACACTCCAGCACAATCTCTTTTCTTTCCACCTCTTACTCCACCCAAATACAGTTCAGTATGATGTTCCTCATGTACGATGGAAGATATAAATGTTACCGCTCGTTAACCGTCTCATCGCTAACGCAAACGTAGAGGAGTCACAAAAAAAGACCATTGGAGTGTTCCCGGGAGTATGTAAGAATCCGAAATGAGTATCTGTGCATGTAAATCAATTGGGTGGACTGGTTTTTCAGTGATCAAACAAATCGTATTGTCAGTTGAAATTTGTTGGTGGGATTTTTTACGAAAAAAATTGAGGTTTTAAGGGGAGACTATTACGAGTTTTAAGTCGCGGGCTATTGGAATGAGATTTCTCACAGATTGAAGGTCGATTATGTATATTTAAAAAAGAATAATTAGTGCCTTAGCCAACTCGATCTGCAGAAGACTCGATATAAAATCAAATTACTCGAAGAAGTAATACATTGGGAATTTCTGCTGAAATTTCAGGAAATCTTGTCATTGAAAAATCAAATATTCCATTGATTTTTTGTTCGAATAATCTGAAAATCAAAAAGATACTCGGCTTCTTCTCATAGTTTAAAAGTCTGGGGGGGAGGGGCTTAGTCAACTCAACTCACAGGACTCGATATAAAATCAAATATTCCATTGATTTTTTGTTCGAATGATCTGAAAATCAATAAAATACTCGGCTTCTTCTCACATATGAAAAGTCTGGGGGGAGGGGGGCTTAGTCAACTCGACTCATAGATGAGTCGATATAAAATCAAATTACTCGAAGAAGTAATACATTGTGACTGAATTTCCGCTGAAATTTCAGGAAATCTTGTCATTGAAAAATCAAATATTCCATTGATTTTTTGTTCGAATGATCTGAAAATCAATAAGATACTCGGCTTCTTCTCATAGTTTGAAAGTCTGAGGGGGGGCTTAGTCAACTCGACTCACAGGACTCGATATAAAATCAAATATTCCATTGATTTTTTGTTCGAATGATTTGAAAATCAATAAGATACTCGGCTTCTTCTCATAGTTTAAAAGTCTGGGGGGGGGGCTTAGTGAACTCGACTCACAGGACTCGATATAAAATCAAATTACACGAAGAAGTGACACATTGTGACTGATTTTTTCATCGCCTCTCGAAAACCGCATTGAGAATTTAGAGTTCACCAAGTCGTCCTGTTACGTGAAACCCGATGCTAACACGATAGTGATTTTGAGAGTATCGATCCGCTAAATTCCTCGAGGGCGAAGAGACAGAGAGAGAGGGAGAGACAGCGGGAGAGAGATAGAGAAGGCAAAAGTTGTAAAATGCGAAGGTACCTGCTAACGGACCCGGACAAGGTAACCTGTATGTCATGATGGGGTTGTGTTTTGTAAAGTTGTTGCCACGTCACATCAGCCTCAGTACTACGTTAAGAAGAGCGACATAGATGGAGTTGTTAAGGTGTGTTGTATACGTGAAAGGTAGGAGGTTTCGAGTATAGAACCTGAAAAACAGACTATGCATACCGTCGCACCCTGGAACACGCTCCAAATTTAAAATTCAAATTCACTCGTATATACGAACTCACTCCCAAGTGCGTGGTGCATCAGGTAGACGTGAAATAAGAAGAAATGTATAAAATATTGTTAAAGACGAAGGCATGACAATATTTCTCACAATTTTATTTCGCCGAACAGATCGGAAACTGAATCGCTAAAATTTTCCGAATAATAAATCCCGAAAATTTCCTTTTGTCCGGCAAATGTCATCGTCTGAGCATCGAGTTCATCACAGAATTTTCATTTTATCAATTTTTATGATACTGATACTTTCTACGCACATCCCAGATGAAATTTAATACGTAAGAATTATCCAGTGTCATTTCAATGGCTTTCACCAGGCTTTTTCCTCAAACCCCTAATGATCACGTATCTGTAATGTAAAGATGCCAAGGTTCCACGCAGTTTGAGAATATATTATGGAAAGTCGACTCGGGATATGTCTAGACAGGATGATGTACGTTTGTCTCTTGATAACGAACTTTATCTTGATTAAAAAATCCACGATTTCTCGAGAGATATCTTTGAATTCGTAGATGTGTGTGAGAAAACGACTCGTTTGAGGATCTTCTGCAGCTGTCCACATATTTTCCAGTTCATAGGAGACACTGCTTGACCGGCAACTATTTTAACGACATTCTTATTTCAACCTAGCCAACATATATCTGTCCATCTTTCCGAATTATCATTTCTGATGAATTCAATCTAGCGTGTGTAATGAAAGAATTTGGTCTCTTGTCCGTTTTTTTTTTCTTTTTCGCTTCCGAATGGAAGCCTTATAATCGTTCAAATTTAAGTTTCGGTTTTTTTTGTGTTATATCGAGCCATTATGATCTAAAAAGTCCGATAATGCAATTTTTGGGTCGTGTGTATGTTGGCGTCTAAGGTTTTTCTTGAATTATTCGTCAGTGAATTGATGGACTGATTTTTATAATGATTTTTACATTTTGGTGAATTTTTCATGAATCTCCCAGGAGCTTGCCAATGGTTTCTTCAAATATGATGCTTCAAAATCATTCAATTGTGCATGAAAAAATGGTTTCCAATGCAATTTCATGGAAGTCTGAAGATAATAAAGACAATAAAGACAACAGAGATGACATTCAAGCCACGGTGTCAACCAAAGTTCGAAGGGATTTCACCCGATCGTTATAGAACGAAACAGAAAATGTAGCTCTCAAAGTAAATACCATGTGATTAAGACAAAAATGACAGGCCATAAAGTGGCAAAGAGTTGGCGAGAGCAATAGCACCGTAAGAAGACAAATCGGTTGTATAAAAAAAAAGATAATGAGGATAATTATACTAATAATTAAATGATGATAATTGGATCAAGTTGAGGATCAAACACAATGAATTGAAGAAGATATCTCCTTTATCCGGGAGACCCGGGTTCGATTCCCGGCTGGGTGAAGCGGAAATTTTTTCTCTCTAAATTCTAATTCTCTTAGATTTTTTTTTTTTTTTTTTTTTTTTTTTTTTTTTTTTTTTTTTTTTTTTTTTTTTTTTTTTTTTTTTTTTTTTTTTTTTTTTTTTTTTTTTTTTTTTTTTTTTTTTTTTTTTTTTTTTTTTTTTTTTTTTTTTTTTTTTTTTTTTTTTTTTTTTTTTTTTTTTTTTTTTTTTTTTTTTTTTTTTTTTTTTTTTTTTTTTTTTTTTTTTTTTTTTTTTTTTTTTTTTTTTTTTTTTTTTTTTTTTTTTTTTTTTTTTTTTTTTTTTTTTTTTTTTTTTTTTTTTTTTTTTTTTTTTTTTTTTTTTTTTTTTTTTTTTTTTTTTTTTTTTTTTTTTTTTTTTTTTTTTTTTTTTTTTTTTTTTTTTTTTTTTTTTTTTTTTTTTTTTTTTTTTTTTTTTTTTTTTTTTTTTTTTTTTTTTTTTTTTTTTTTTTTTTTTTTTTTTTTTTTTTTTTTTTTTTTTTTTTTTTTTTTTTTTTTTTTTTTTTTTTTTTTTTTTTTTTTTTTTTTTTTTTTTTTTTTTTTTTTTTTTTTTTTTTTTTTTTTTTTTTTTTTTTTTTTTTTCATCGAATTCAATGAAATAATATGAAAGAATAAATTTTGTATGCAATAAAAAAAATGCTGTACAAGATGACGCATTCGGAAGCATATTGCCAATTTATTAGCAAAAATAACTACACCGTATCAAGACAATATCAATTACCCACTTGTTTTTCGTAAAATAAATGAGAATTTTTGTGTTGCAAGCTAGATTCGGTTGAATCCAGCAGCCGTTGGTGCAACCGGTCGATACGCAGAGACCAAACCTTGCTTGCGGCGTCGTCTGTCACACTCCACCCCAAACCGAAACCATTTTCTTGCGCCCGCGCGTCTCTACTCCGCCCAACATCGTGTAGAAAAAAAAGGAAAAAAAGAAAATAGCCCCCTCCACATCACAATATTAACGTACATACGTGTTGCTGACTGCTGTCCCACGTACTAGGTGCAGAGCTTACCACTTTGTTTTACTTTTCTCTTTTTTCCTCTATTCACGCTTCTCTACCCTCCGCCTACCTGTTTCGAATACAAACGGACTACCATTTTGAGAATGAGGGTTTAAAGAGTTAATGAGGAATTTTAAATTTCATCAAATTCTCCCGGCGTTTCTCTATTTATGCAAATTCAATTTTTTTATTTTTATTTTTCAGTCGTTTTACTGGACACAACCAACGAGGAAATTCTGGATTGGACGAAGTATCCTTATGGACCTCAAGCTACAACACCTGGGGTAAGTTTTGCATGGACAGTAATATTGAAGAACTAGGGGGATAGGGCCCCGAAGCATCTCAGTCGGAAGCTCCGAGGGGCCTCACTTTTCCAGACTCCCGTAGCATCTTCATGAGTGATAGCGAAATTTTCGTGATTACATTTATTGTAGCACTCAGTCGGCTCTACAAAAAAGGTTGTAAGAAAAATTTTTCTATCTCCCTTAGATTCCGAGATATTCATTGAAAACTGGTGAATAGTCAAAATTGACTTGTACCGATTTACCACTTCGCTACTGAATTTATCTTTAGTTTTCATTGATTGTCATGATTTCCACGCGATATTCAAACGATTAGACCGGCAAGTGGCACCGTGATTTCCAGTTACTCGTCCCTTTATTAATATTGTCGGTATTTTGACCCTCGTGACCCTTACAAGCTTGATCCTTATCAAGTCCATGACTCTCCTGATCTTCATGGATGTAGAACACTCAAGACTCCGACACTCAGACTCACATTTGCGCTGAAAATTATAGCATTTGCCATTTTAGCATTTTTTTTTTTGTTACAAAGAAAGTCAACGTATTCTCATAGAGGCTTGTGTAAGTGTAAAACAGTAGGAGCCTCACCAAAAAAAAAACTTCAATTATATTCTAATCAATTCTCATCCCAACTCCTGAGTTTGCATCCAATCGATTTAGTTCCAGTCTTTTTAGACAATTTCCAGCAGAATACCGTCTGCCTTCTCTTCCAATATTCTTGAATAATTCATCGAATGAGTGATGAGATTTTCGCTCTATCTCAGACATTCGACGCAGATTAATGGAACAATGCATTGAGTCAATTTTTGTCTTCCATCATTGAAGGAACATGCAATCCCCCTATCTCTCAGCTACCCACACCACAGTTGTAACATTCCCTCGACAGTAATTTTTCAGGCAATTTATCAGTTTCTTCTTGATTGAGCATTTCGTACTTAGACACCTCAGTGGAGTTTCAATTAAAAATTGTCGCCTAGAAATTAAGAATTGTCGGGACTCTTCCTTTTTCCTCTCCATTTTCTCACCACTTTTTCATCCTCTCAGCATCCCCCACTAATTTCCCCCCTCCCCCCTGTTCCGAAAAATCGAGGGAATGCGCTACCGTTTTNCCCCCCCGTTCCGAAAAATCGAGGGAATGCGCTACCGTTTTGTGTGTGAGAATGACGAAAAATTAATCAACAACGATAGAAACAATAAGTAGGAAGACACTCGTCAGAAAATTCTTTTTCCCTCGACTCCCGCCGCAGGATATCACCCAGAAGCGCGAGTTATGATCCTCTCTCTTCTCTTTCATTGGATGATGTGCGCATACGTGGGCTCCCGCTGGCCAGTACTCCTGGGCGCCATGTTTGTTTTTCAGTTGTTAAGCACCCAGCAGGCCGCCAGACAGGTTTAAATCAACCTTCCCTCACTCCCTCCCTCCCTCCCTCACTCGCTCCCTCTC